TTGTTTGATCAACTACGGGGGGCAACCGTGTTCTCTAAGATCGACTTGAGGTCAGGCTACCATCAACTGAAGATCAAGGAGAGTGACATACCCAAAAGTGCATTTCGTACAAGGTATGGTCACTATGAGTTCCTAGTAATGTCGTTTGGGCTTACGAACGCACCCGCGGCATTCATGGACCTCATGAACCGAGTATTCCATCAATACTTGGACCAATTCGTTATAGTGTTCATTGATGACATTTTGATATACTCCATGAATGAAGTGGAGCACGAAAAACATCTAAGGCTTGTGCTTGAAACACTGCGGGAGAAGCAACTCTTTGCCAAATTCTCTAAAAGTATATTTTGGCTTGGGGAGATCGGTTTTCTCATGCATGTGGTATCGGGCTCGGGCATTTCAGTTGATAACTCAAAGATTGAAGCGGTCACTAATTGGGAGAGGCCCAAGAATGTGAAGGAGATAAGGAGTTTTCTCGGTTTAGCGGGGTATTACCGCAAATTTGTGGAGAAGTTCTCGGTGATAGCATCTCCACTCACGAAGCTCATTAAAAAGGGGGCTAAGTTTGTGTGGGATGACAAGTGTGAGAAGGGGTTTCTTGAGTTAAAGAAACGTTTGACCGAAGCACCAGTGCTTGCCTTACCCGTGCAAGTGTTAGGGTATGACATCTACAGTGATGCTAGCATTCAGGGACTGGGATGTGTACTGATGCAATCGGGGAAGGTAATTGCTTATGCTTCTCGGCAGTTGAGAAAGCATGAAGTAAACTACCCCACACATGATCTGGAGCTAGGTGATGTGGTGTTTGCATTGAAGATTTGGAGGCACTACCTCTACGGAGAGTTGTGTCACATCTATACTGACCACAAGAGCTTGAAGTATGTGTTCACACACAAAGAGTTGAACATGAGACAGAGAAGATGGATGGAGTTGATCCAGGATTACAACTTGATCATTGACTATCATCCAGGCAAGGCTAATGTAGTAGCCGATGCGCTGAGCAGGAAGAGCTCATCATCGAGGGTTTTACTCACATGCTTACGAGCATTGAGGGCACGCGTGGAGGCATCCACAGATGGGGCATTATTGGCTAGATGTGAGGTGAGACCCACCTTGTTAGACGAAATCAGGACATGTCAAGGCAATGATGAGGAATTTCAGAAAATCCGGGAACGGATGCTTGTGGGGCCCGTCGAGGGTTTCCGTGAGAGAGAAGATGGACTTTTACTGTTCAAAGAACGAGTGTGTGTGTCATCAGATGAGGAGCTCCGTAAATCTATCCTTGAGGAGGCTCACTCATCTGCGTATGCCATGTACCCGGGTGGTACAAAGATGTATCGGGACTTGAAAGAAAGTTAGTGGTGGTCGGGGATGAAGAGAGAGATTGCAGAATACGTGAGTCATTGCCTCACCTGCCAACAGGTTAAGGCAGAGCACCAACACCCAGCAAGGTTACTACAACCACTTACCATTCCAGAATGGAAGTGGGAGCATGTTACCATGGACTTCGTGGTGGGTCTACCACGGACGGTTAGGAACTACGACGCAGTATGGGTGGTAGTCGATAGGCTGACCAAGAGTGCTCATTTTCTACCTATCAACACTACCTATACGCTCGAGCGATTGGCCAAATTGTACACAGATGAGATTGTGAGACTGCATGGGGTTCCGGTTACTATAGTATCGGATAGAGACCCACGGTTCACATCACGGTTTTGGCCTAAGTTCCAGGAATCCATGGGTACGAAATTGAGGTTTAGCACCGCATTTCATCCTCAAACGGATGGACAATCTGAACGGGTGATTCAGATTTTGGAGGACATGTTGAGGGCATGTGCCTTGGAGTTCTAAGGAAGTTGGGACAATCAGTTGGCTTTAGTGGAATTTGCCTATAACAACAGTTATCAGGCGAGTATAGGCATGCCTCCATACAAAGCATTGTATGGGAGGAAATGTCGGACACCATTGTGTTGGGACGAGGTCAGCGAGGCTAAGCTCGAGGGCACCGAGCTAGTCGAGATCACCAAAGAGAAGATAAAAGTCATACAGGATAGGCTCAAGGCTGCCCAAGACCGGCAGAAGAGCTATGCTGATAAACATCGGAGGACGTTGGAGTTTGAGGTCGGTGACGAAGTATTTATGAGGGTATCACCTTGGAAAGGGATCATCAGGTTCCTCAGTCGGGGTAAGCTTAACCCACGTTACATAGGTTCGTTCAAAATCCTGGAAAGGATTGGGGTTGTGGCATACCGACTTCAGTTAACTCCAGAGTTGGAGAAAATTCATAATTTGTTTCATGTTTCTATGCTCAAGAAGTATGTGCGGGACCCGTCACACATTCTTTAGAAACCACCGGTAGAAATCCGAGAAGACCTACACTATACGGTGCAGCCGGTACAGATCATGGACCGACAGGTGAAGAATCTAAGGAGCAAAGAGGTGCCGATGTTAAAAGTACTTTGGAAGAGTGATCGTGTCGAGGAGCAAACTTGGGAAGTGGAGACCCTGATGAGGGAACAATATCCATTTCTGTTCGACTAGACACATGGATTTCGGGGACGAAATCCCAAATAAGGGGGGTAGAACTTGTAACACCGCCCCCAAGTATTTGTACTTTATCAAATTATGTATTGAACCTTGAGAAATGAATAAACGCATTTTACGTGATTGTAAATTTTTATCACTTCTTTTGCGTGAATAGTAACATTCACGTGGGGCCCACATCGGAAGTGGGGGCCGCCCGATATTATCGGGACCACGTATTATATTAATCTTGGCCTAGATAATATGTATATGGTGTTGGTTATTCTAATTGGGCCGTGGCAATGACATAGAGTGGACCGGTTGGTCAAACGGGGCCCAATTATCAGTATCGGCAATTTATCATATAACAGCCCGAAAAGATATTTCGGAGACTTCTAAATTAAATTTGAGGAATGCATATTCATTCTAAGGTCCAATAAGGATTGGGAACAAGTGTTATATTTTATTTGACCCGATAAAATAAAATATAATCAAAACAGTCCGGAAAAATACAACTTTCGGGACCGATTGTACATTCGGGTACACAAAGGGTTGACCTCCCACATAAGTGGGGGCCAACCCACGTCTCTTGTCTGGAAAATATCAGGGGATCCGCACATAAGCATGAGGAAAGAGGGGAGAGAGGACTTAGAGACCAAATGTGATAGGAGAAGGGTCCGTCCCCCCACATTATTGGTGAATAAGCCAAAAGGAGTATCCCTATCACTCCTAAACCCATGAGCTCGGCCAACCCGCCTAAGGAAGAGAGATAAGGTCTGTAAATACTCCATTTTCATCCACCATCTACACACTTGAGTTAAGGAGGAAGAAGGAGGGGAAAAGAGAAGAGAAAAGTTGGCTTTGGAGAGGAAAACTTGTGTTTAACAAGGTAATGACTCCATTAATCCCATTTCTTGTCTTCAATCCTCTTATATGATTATTCAATCATATTTCACACCCTAGGATTTTTCTACACGTTTGGAAGTGTAGAATGAGGGGTTGGAAGGTAGTTCTAAGTCCAAGAACGGACTTAGAAGCCAAAATGACCGGTTCGCCGGAAAATAACCTTTTTGAGGTTATTTGTATTACTATGGGTTTTATGATGATAAAAACTTGTTAGTAACTTGTCTAAGGTATTCAAGGAACTTTCACGGAGTTGAAAGGGTCTCCGTAGTTGTCGCCGGAGTTCGTTGAAGTTCGTCGGAGTTTCACCGGAGCTAAATCGGGAAGGCTAGAACTTCATAAGATTCATTAAGGTGAGAAGACGGCTTTATGCTTTATAAATTTTGCGTGAGGCATGAGATTACCTAAGGTAATCAAGGATGTGTTTTATGTAATGATTAAAGATAACCAAGTGTTTGTTTATGCCATGATTATACATAAAACATAGTTGAAAAGCATGTTATGTAGGTTTGGTGATTAAAAATGTGATAACTTATTATGTATGATGTTCCAGGGATCCAAAATGGTATTTTTGGATCAAGGACGTCAATAAGTACATGTGTATAAAATTTCACGTTAATCGGACTCCGTTTGGGCGGTCAAACGGGCGTTGACCGTCAAGTCAACTGCTATACCCGACCGGGTATTTGCTGAAAATTTGCCACAGGGGCTACTGTCGTCTATACCCGATCGAGTATGGGTAGGTACTCGATCGAGTATACACCAAAAATTGGCCTTACGATCTACTGTCTCCTGTACTCGACCGAGTATAGGTGGGTACTCGATCGAGTATTGGGTTATGCTCAAATCGGACAGTTTTGAGCCGGTTAATGTGGGTCGTTCAGGTGGGACCCGCCCACGTTGGTTCATAAGGATGGTTATATGACTATAGGGCTAGGTATTGTCTATAGTTAAAGGAATGAAAGGTTAGCCATATCCAGGTTAGGGTTTGGTAAGGAATAAGGTTGGGGTTGAGCATCCCCGGGACTGTAAATGATCCTGAAACTCGGTTGGGGTTGAGTATCCCCGGGACTGTAAATGATCCTGAAACTCGGTTGGGGTTGAGTATCCCCGGGACTGTAATGATCCCGAAACTCGGTTGGGGTTGAGTATCCCCGGGACTGTAAATGATCCTGAAACTCGGTTGGGGTTGAGTATCCCGGGACGGTAAATGATCCTGAAACTCGGTTGGGGTTGAGTATCCCCGGGATGCTAAATGCTCCCAAAACTCGGTAGGATATTATGAATGTAGAATGTAGCTTGTGAGCTAGGCATTCGGGGAAGGAGTGAGAAAAGTCAGGTAAGAATTTTATCTCTAAAAGACTCTTTAAATGAAATGACCTACGGGTTGAGTATTTTACAAATATATATAGAGTATGTATCATCGGGTGGATGAGTCACACACATATATATACATATATATCACCCTATTTTTGGGTCTCGTGTCTGAAACATTAGTTATTCTTCATATAGCCTGCTTGTCACTAGTACTTCTATAGAGTACTGACCCCTCCGGGGGCCCTCACATTTTTCAGGTTAAGGCTAGAGTCCTACTACTTGCACCTTTGCCTAGGGTGATTGATCAAGGAGGAAGACGTGGTTCGTGCTTCCATTCTTATTTCAAATTTATAAACTGTTCATGGATTTTCGAACAATGTTTTCTTTAAAACAGTTGGGGGCCTGCGTGCCCGTGTTTGCCACGTGTGGCTAAGTATCAAACATATTATTCTTTCCGCATTTGTTTGATTATGATATTGATGTTGATTGTATGTGTTTACTAATCGGTTTGGCAATAGAATCAATCGGACATCTTGTATAATTCAATAGGGATGAACTGTTGTTGTTCTTATCAGGTTGTACGGCGGTTGTCTACGTGGCCCGGATGTGGTCTGGGGCGTGACAGTCGAGGTTCCGAGAAAGTTTGCTCCCCCCTCGATGAAGTTATTTGACGGAACTTCCGATCCTGTGGAACACGTCGCTCGGTACAAGCAACAGATGCTGGCCAATTCGTTCAGGCCGGACCAGCAAGAGGCGTGCATGTGCAGAGTATTTGGGACGACATTGACGGGGCCAGCTTTGACATGGTTTGTCAAATTGCCCAATGGGGGAATCAACTCCTTTGTGGAACTAGTCAACTTATTCAATCTGCAGTTCACAAGTAGTCGGGTTCTTGAGAAGCAAACCAACGATAACTCAGCCGCCATGTTGCATCCCATATGCCTCGTCATATGCGTCCGCTGCATTGTCCATGTCGCAAGGGATATCTTCCTTCAGCAACAACTCAGCCGCCATGCTGCATCCCACCTGCGCGATGGATTTTCCGTATGGGTCCCCACGACTCCCGCTTGCATCAATAGGCATGCCATTTAATTCATACAACTTGTTTCATATGTCGGTCTCATCTCTTTTTACTGCTGCAAATTCTGACTTCGGGGGACGCACGCCTCATCCTGACATTGGCCGATCTATGGAGTATGTTGGACCCACGTTCTCGGGCTAGTCTGGAGTCTCTCGCCATTGCCGTCGGTTTCTCCATCTCATCTGCCAGGTTTTTCATCAGCTCCCGCTTTTTTATCATCCCTTGCATCACAATTAGCATTCTCAACACCGAATGTCACTAATATTGTCACTACACGTTTATCAGCGGTTGAGGATTATTTACCATGACGTAAACAGTTTAAATCTTTTCTAGTATCTCGTAGTCTTCTTGAGATATTAGATGGGTCCATGCTGATTCCGCCACCTACTGTTTGTGATATGACTAGGTGTGAGGCACCTAATCCCGATTATCATCATTGGCTCAAAATTGATCAAACAGTTAGGTCTTAGTTATTTGCTACATTGTTTAGGGATATTTTGATGGAGGTGTATGATCTTAAATGTTCTCATTTAATTTGGGAGCATCTTCAAAGTCATTTTCAGTTGCATGTTTAGCACGGTCCATGGAACTTAAACGAATGCTATCACATGTGAAAAAAGAAGGAGCCACAAACCATGTATCAATATTTGTTAGAAATTAAGCTCATGGCAGATAATCTGGCAGCTTTTAAGTCCCCTGTTAGTAATAAGGACCTGATTGAATATGCCCGTGACTATGAGTCCCTCATCACGACTATCACCTATTTTCCGATGAATGCCACACTGTATACATTGCGTCCTATTTTACAAGCCCAGGAGCAACGGGATGCTCATTTAAAAAAGTGAGTTTATGTAGTGGATATTGAATTGATGAAGTAAGAATGATTAAGGATCCTACAAATTTTAGCAAATTTGGTATGAGACAATCTTAGTGAGACAACCCGAAATTGATATGGGACCATCTAAACGGGACGGGTGGAGTAGTTGGTATACCGTACAAAAAATATGTGGTGGTTTCTCGTTCATCTGCACAATGATAGGATTGGGTGAAGAACATCTCAAATATTAAAAAAATGATCATTACATGCAAAGCTAATCACTCACCAGGATAATGTGTCTCAGCTAGGGGTGGTTCGGTACGGTATACCGAATATTTTTTCTCATACATTTGTCATACCAAAACGTTCGATATGCAAAATTTATATACTGTTACCTTACCGAAATTTCGGTATACCGTATTTCGGTATTACCAAAGTTTCGGTTCGGTAATGGTGCAGTATTGGTAAATTACCACTCCTTTCTTCGAACACAACAAATTATGATAGACTAACTAAATATACAAAATTGGTGTTACTACCGACATACTTAATTCATTATTAAAATGTTACAAAATATAAATATTAATCTATTAGTGTCATATTCAATATTAAAAAATTATTAGTAGTAGTATATTTAATCAATTCAACAACCCACGTATTAAAAAATAACATATTCTCTTAAAATAATCTAAACAATATAGATATAATTAAATCAATAGTGATCTCTAGAAAGAAAATAGTATTATTCAAACAACATAGATATAAAATCAGTTATCCCTAATATGATGATGTCATGTTGTGTATTTAGTTATTTTTATAATTTTAAAAAAATATTTGAATATGACTTGGTATAACTGTATACCGGCATACCTTTTATTTTCAAATAAATATCGATACCATACCGAAGTGATTTAGTACGGTACCATGTCATACTGAAAATGTCGGTATACCTAAATTTTCGATAAATCCAGTATTTTTCAATATGGTAATGCGGTATACCGAAATTTCGGCATTTCCACAACCCTAAGTAGAAGGTTATAGTGGGTTTGGGGAAGTGGGCCTTTATTTTGTATTTTTGTATTCGTTAACAACCTGAGCATTAATTATGGGCTTCAAAGTTGTAATGAACTTTTACAATATTTTAGAATTTAAAATAATTGTTGGGTAGGGAGCCGATACGGTATCATACCGGTATATCAAGGTATTTGAAAAAATTTACCGTTACCGTACCGAAATAAACCGCTACGGTATGCTACCGAACCCAAAATGACAGTATACTAAATTTTTGGTATTTTCCTGTATTTTTCAGTGTGGTAAGTGCAGTATACCGATTTTTCAGTATTTTCCCCCACCCCTAGTCTCAGCTCAGTCAAAGTCATTTTATTTTGTATGAGTTACTTTTATGCAATGACAAGTTACCATGAATGTGATCTAGTTTTTTTAAATATTATGCTTTTACTTTTTCTTTACATATTCTTCTCTAAGACCACAAGATACTACTCGTATAATTATTATGATTATTTTGTAATGGTAATTGTAATTATTTTTTCCTACTGCCAAACCCATTAGTTTAATAATCTTATAACTCAGTTTTAATTGAGACCTAAAAAGACATTTTTCTTACCGTTAAGTAAATTATATCCCCTATAATTCTTCCATAGTCTTTTGTGGTGCAATATTCGTATAAAAATATATATGTTTTAGTTTGATGTCCAAAAAAAGTTGCCTTATTAAATAAGTAGTCTATAATGTTTTGGAACTCAACCCAAAACCCTTCTAATCCTGAATACTCAAATCCCTACACCTAAACAATATCGTGTTAATAGTAGTAAATGTTTAGTGTGTCTCGGAAAACGAAAAATATTAATTAATAAAATTAATTAATATAGCTAAAGAAAAACGAAAAAGAGATGGAACAGAAATAGCAAAAGCTTGTGTTAAGCACAATGTCCTTAAAACGTATTCGTTGTCTCCCTAGGTGCTAGGAGCGTTGCAACGATCGTTTCCCAAGATACGAAGACTACGAACAATTGTTTGAGCACTCAACAAATTGTTCCAGCGAACGGAAACCAAGCAAGAACACTAAGGAATTTTCCGTAATACTGGAGGTGTGTTTTAGCTCAAAACGTTTGTTCTAACTGTGTTGTGAGATGTGTTGTTGCAAAACACCTGTCAGGTTTATATATGGACGGATTTGTGGTGTGTTAACTGAGCTTTAATGGACGTGAGCGTTGGACATGAATGACTAGCACGTTGGGCATTAATATGTTGAAAGCTGACTATTTAAAGACGCATTAAAAGATAAGAACGTTGGGCAATAAATCTTGTAAAGGCCGAGAACCGTTCAGGTGCGCGACCAGAACTGGTGTAACGTGTTCTGGTTCTGAAGCCACCAGAACTGCTCTCTGCTCTTCTGGTTCGGAAGCCACCAGAACCCAGAACTGCTCTTCTGGTGTGTACAGAATAGAAGGGTTCTGTTGCGATTCTGGAAAACTGAAACGTGACGGGAAGAATCAAAAATTAAATCGTATCTTTGAATGATAGATTTTCGGACGGCATTCGTGTCCGCAGGTCGCCCGCGCACGCAAGTCGTGATTTTTCTTCTCCGTTTTCGCGGTTTATATCATCAATATCCAATTCTCGATGATCATTGATTGGGGCTATTTTAGGACCTTGTGTTCATATAAGCTCTCACTTACTTATTGACAACATAAGTCAAAGGGAACACAATTATGAATAAGATATTGACAATTGAAATACTTAATCATCAATGTGTAATACCGTATATATCAAATATATAAAACTGAATGTGATCAAGTACATATATCTCTAAAAAGTGATTGTCGCTAGGACATATATACTAACACTAAACCCCATACCCCCAGCAGATTTCGGCTTGCAAAGAAAGTGTCAGTCCTTCCAACGAATTCCTTTCCATGACTTTCCTTTCCACCAATACCCATTCATGATGACTTCAATTTCCCGGCACAACTCAATCGGTAATAGAAAAACATTCATGACGTAGGTCGGCATAGCCTGGATAACTGCCTTCAAAAGAACCTCCCTACCCGCCTTGGATAAAAAATTATTATTCCAATTATTTATTCGATTAATCACATGTTGCCAAAGATAACCCAAAATTTCTTTCTTACTCTTGCCTACCAACGCCGGAAAACCCAAATATTTATCATCATCACCTGCCAGCCCCACCCCAAGCATCTCAACAAGCCCCTCGCGACAACTAGTCTCCACATTAGCACTAAAAAATACCTTTGATTTATTAAGATTAACTATCTTGCCTGAGACCCTCTCATAATCGGATAATGCCTCATTAATCAAAGATGCTTCATCATGCGTGGCTCTAAAAAATAATAGGCTGTCATCTGCAAAAAAATAAGTGAGAAATCATAGGTGCACCCCAGACAATAGAAACCTCATGCAAACGCCCCATGCCTCATATCTGCGTAAAAGCGCACTGAGACCTTCTGCGATAATTAAAAAAAAGTACGGGGACAAAGGATCACCCTGCCGTAAACCTCTCCCTAGCACAGATAAAGCTATCTTAGTGTCATCAAACGGGATAGAGTAGGTGACCGAAGTAACGCATTCCATAACCAACCTAATCCAGCGCTCATCAAAACCCAAATTTCTCATCATATCCTCAAGAAAAGGCCACTCAACTCTATCATAGGCCTTGCTCATATCTAACTTGAGACCCACAAAACCCTTACGCCCTTGTCTCTTACACTTTAAAAAATGTTGGGACTCAAAAGCTAGCATGATGTTATCCACAATGTGCCTACCCGGAATAAAGGCACTTTGTTGCTCCGAGACACAAAATTGAAGTAAATTCTTCATACGATTGGCGAGCAATTTAGAATTTTTTTTATAGATTACATTGCATAAAGCAATCGATCTCCAATCCCACAGAGCCTCTGGACCCTCCTTCTTAAGAATTAACACAATATAAGTATGATTTATTTTTTCCGGGAGCTTACCTGACTCAAAGACATCCCTGCAAAATTTGATCACGTCCGGACCCACAACGTCCCAAAAATGTTGATAGAAGCCCGCACTCATTCCATCCAGTCCAGGAGATTTGTATGGATACATGTCAAACAAAGCCTCCTTTACCTCCTCATCACGAACTAGACGAAGAAGCGCGAGATTATGTTGCCCGTCCAACCTGCGCCGAACACATCCATAAATGATATCATCTCGCCTAGAACATGCGACAAAAATATTATTAAAATAATCCCTGATTAATTTGCCCACTTCGGCTCTATCGCTCTCCCAATGGCCATTCTCCAGTCTAGATCCCCCACTCTATTTTTTCGTCTGTGGTGCTTGACTGAATTGTTGGTTATGATGA